GTAGATTGTGTAGCTGCTAACTAATTCACTTTGGCATTTGCCTTCCTCTAATCAACAAACATTGACGGCGACAATATCGGCGTGTTCAGATGTAGCTCAGTTAAAGAAGGTAGAAGATGACACTTTGATAATACGATTTCTCAAGTACGATCTTGAATATTCATGAGATAGAGTCGCACAAAACAAAGTCTAGTCATGGAAGTATCTCAAGTGCAGCGCATTGTATGGTACTAATGTGTTGGTAAACAGTAGAAAAATCTTACTTACGGTCTCATGTTCGCTGACGTTGCCGTATATGCCAAAATTTTCTGCCTGTACACCATAAGAAGAACAAGCGGACACATACTCTGGCTAGGGACTCCGCCGTGAGCCACAAAACTCTTGATTAAGCTGTGTCCTTTGCGAAACGTATAGTTGCAGTCGCGAAAGTGGAGCCGCCACACCTTAACCATAAGACTAATCGTAATTCGTTTATTGTCAAATGTGAGCGTTCTGCATTATAGCTGCAATATCGTTCTTCGACAAATTGATCAGAGTCACTTCAGCTCTCCCACTCGCCGCTAGTGCTTGTTGATCCTTGGCATTGGCTTGTATATGGTACCCACAGCCATGCGAGTAAGATTAAGTATCTTGGTTTTGAGTTCCTTCGTTAGCACGTCTGCAAGTTGATGATTTTTTCGATATTTTTCGATATAGCCGACTTTTCATTACTCATTCTTGCACGTTCTCGACGATAAAGTTGTGCCTTATGTTCATGGGCTACGTCCTAGCATGGTATTCGGCTTTGTTATCAAAGTGATCGCTCCTTGGTTGTCATTCTAAACTGTGTGCCTTCCATTCGCTGGCGACCCATGTGTTTTTTAACCATACTCAAACACAAAGGCTTAAGACCATAAATCCAGCCTCAGCGTAGCTGACAACCACGGTTCGCTATTATTTTGAATTCAATAGGGAGCACCAGCAAACATGACTCCAACTCCCGATACCGAAGACTGTCACTAAATCGCTTTCCCTGTCGGCGTCCGAATGTGCTTCGATCGCGATGTTATCACTGCCTTGCTCGACGAGATCGATTAGGCGATAAGTCTTCAGTTAGCTTAGCACGCGAATAATTGCATTCTTCTTCTGTAGTCCGGGATTCTTCAGGATATATGGCAGTTGCGATATCAAGTATGCAACATCCGGACGAAAACATGTATATATGTACAGCAGAAAGTCAATCAAGAATCGATATAGTTCGAGCACCGCCAAAGAACCTTCTTCCGTCGCGGCCGACTGCGTTGATGACAGCTTCAATTTTGATGCGCACGGGTTGTTCACATTCTTGGCATTTCGTTGACCAAATCGCCTAACAACATCGTCGATGTAGCAATTGTACTTTTAAAACAGGGTTGTGGTGAGTTTTTTAGCACTTTCTTGACCTGATTGACCCTCCTGCTCTATTACAACAAAAAACCATGTCAGGCACATATCGTCCAAAGTCGTTTTGGCAGCTTCTAGGTATCTCTCGATATCAAAGCACAGCCTCCACAGCCCTTGATATCACCTTTGCAATGACAAGATGTATTGTATTGTTCCAGACACTTGCGCGTTGTTCTAGCCCAGCACTACCAACACAACGCAGAACATTCAGATAATCGTTGTCGGTCAGCATACTGTTAAGAAACGCAGTATAGACATCCAGCTATTCATTTGATGATCGCATTCGGTACATACCGCAACCACCATCCGGCTCAAAATCACGTTTGCGATAGTAGACTGAGTCTTGAATAATCGATTCCATAAAATACTTGAAATAATTCGCGCCACGTCGTGCCTGGTACTGTACACCAGCTCCATTCCACCCACGCTTCGTTGTACAGATCCATTGTGATCCGATTGTGCGATAGGCCTTCACTCATGACGGTAATGGGATAGTTTAGAGTTGCTCAAAGGAGCAAAGCTCAGCTTCAATGACTTCATGCGTCTTCAATGCATCATTGCTTTCCATTGCTTGAGCATAAATAGTCGGCAAGTATGTATCATCCTGACTTCACATAGCATATGAAAGAACGGCGTCGACAGTGGATCTGTCTTTTCCAAATTTAGCATGCATTACACAGCGTCGACATTGGACGCGCCTTTTCAAATTTAGCATGCAGTATCATCTGTAGGACATATCTTCCTAATGTTCACTCTCGGTCATTTGAGCCGTTTCTGACATCATCATTTGCTCATGACTTCGTCATGTCCGCTCCACTTTATTCCGAAAATACAAACCATCTTCGTGTTGCGTTTGAAAAGAAGGACGATAGTGTGCTAACTCCAACCTGCTTTTAGCGAAGCACCCATGAGGCATCAGCCGATATAAACCCAAAGCTCATCGTACGCTCAGCATCATCCAAATTGATTGCGACTGATTCTTCAGCAATCCCCAGGGCGGGCTGATATTTTCTTGGTGCTGAACATTGTCATCTTCATCGTCATTTATAAATTCTATGGTCATTTCTGGCTGAGGCGCTCGCTAGTCAAAATGACCTCTCAGTTACCTCAATATTAGTTTTGTCCTAGTCAAACCCGGCAAACCCTTGGCATTTTTTGCAAAGCCGAAAAACATAAACCTAAACTTTTCTTTGTTTTCTTTGCAGCGTCAGTATATGCATTACACTGTGCTCACACTCAGGTAATCGATCTATCCGAGGCTTCATCTTACCCAGCTCAAGCGGCGTAATGTAGGGATAGCCGGGTTTTATCGAGGAATCATGAAAATAAACTGCGGTGTTCAAGGATTCGCTCACCATTCAGTCATTTTTTGTAGAAACATACCATAAATCTTTCTCGATGATGATGATGATGAAGGTCAGGTATATTGTGCTACATGTACATGACGACGATATCCTTTCTCCTGGCTACACTAAGTTATTACGCGTTTCGACTAGGAGGGAGCCGACGTTCAGCCGCCAAAGCGGCTCGCCGGCTGAATTTCGGAAGAAAGTCCCTAGTTCTAGCTTCTCTAGAATGGTGCTCCATGCAAGAAAGCTGAGACCGGCAGCAGAACCCTTGGAGCCAGTATTGTAGGTCTTGTTTGAGGTGTTCCGCAATGGCCTCCCAGTTTGGGTGAGAGGTTGAGAGGTGTGCTTCGCATTGTTGTGATCGACATGAATTCATTGCAATGTTTGCTGCGCGATCTGTTATTCTGTTTATTCCC